TCCATGTTTGGACGGGTCATCACACTTTCATTTTCCACTTACTCCTCGAAGTGAGCCTGTTGCACGAATGTAGATAGGCTAGATAGGATGAGTAGAGTAGGCTGGGCGCTGGGCGCCAGACAATACGAGCAACATTGAATATTGCGTTGGTATGGCCTGCGGGCTTGGACATTGGCTCACGAGTTCATTGTTTCGCTCTTATTTGGATGGAATCTTTGTGCATTTGAGCTCTCCGCTTGTTACATGACTATCTCAGTGTATCTGGACTTCTGCGTGATTTTGCAACTTGGGTTTTTGTTTATCGCTCTCGCTCATGTTCGTATCTAGGTTAGCGGCGGTGCTTCCGCAAGGTATGCGCCTTGTTGAAGGGGGGGGACGAAATCACACAATCAATCAGTCAATCAAAAAAAAAAAACAATCAATCAACGAAATCAAACAATGGATCAGTCAGTCAAAACGGTCCATCAATCAATCAAGAAAATCGCAATAGCGCAACACCTAAAATTTCCGTTTTCATTTTTTTTCTAAGAACTCAAAATTTCATTGTTGAAAATCCGGAATAATTTTTTCGTCAAAAAATTCGATTTCCTTTTTATTTCCCGTTATTCGGAAAGCCGGAATATTTTTTATTATTTTCGAAATTCATTTTTTTTCCTAAAACAATACGGGAAATCTCTCCTCTAGTTACCATTTTCCAAACTGCTGCGCTGCCTGCGCATACTCTCATCTGAGTAATTCCGATTATTTTTTTATTTTCTCCGTTTCGGAATTCCTTGTATGCGCAGTTCTGTGATTTTCACTATCTAATAATCATTGGCAGTCTTAAAGTCTGGTTGGACATGACTACTTGGACATCTGTGTGATTCGCAACTCGGTTTTCTGTATATCGTTCCCACTCAGATTCCTTGCATCTCTCTCTCTCTCTCTCTCTCTCTCTCTCTCTCTCTCTCTCTCTCTCTGCAGGATTATACCTCGTTCTCGAAGAAATCATGTAAGAGAACTACTGTTTTTTCGAATCTCATCAGAATGTCGAAACTGGCAAGCTTAGAAGAAGCTATGATGGCGGCCATAACCGCTCTGATGATGGAAACTCGCCTCCGGGGCTACCCCCCGGAGGTCTCTCTCGGGGCCCTGGCGCGGTTTGCCAGGGTGTTCGGTGGTACGTTGAGGACTTACCTCCTCAATGAATACCCCGGGCTGGAGAGTTTTTTTTTATTTACTAACCCTTGTCTTTTTTTTTTTGGTTTACTAATCCTTGTCTTTTGATTTATTAACCCTTTGTTTTCGAGTCTGCAAGCCTATTGCGATGAGAAAGGGTTTTTGAGAACTAAGGGAGTCGATTTATGTTTTTTGAAGTTTCTGTTGTTAAGAGTAGATCTTCGGGCGACGTGAGCCTAGTGGCGATTACTTAGAAGCCTGGCCCACATTTTGCTTTGGTGTGTACACTACTAAAAATGGGTGAAGTACCACAAAAAAATGAGATACGAAGTTAGAAAAAAAAAGACTGGTATATGGCGCCGTAGTAGAGGATTTTTTAATCGCTTTCGCGTGACACAGTTTGAATTTCCCGCCTTTCGTGGTACAAGGAAGGCAGGCGCAGAGTCAAGTAAGAGAAGGACTGAACGGGTTTTGCGAACGCGCCAGAGGAGGGAAGTGAATGGAAGAAGACGAGAACGCGAGATTTCGGCGAAACGATCAGAGTACAGGGTCGTGTTTAGTAAGAACGATTGTTGCATATGAGCGGGGTCGTGGCAGCGGGGAAGTAGCCGAGAACTGGGGATGGTAGGAATAGTGATGAGGGTAGATGAAGGGTAGGAGACGGGAGTAGGAGATATAAAAGGACGAAGGAATGGGGATAGTGGAAAGTAGGAGTAGTTGGAGCTTTGATACGCGCGCTTGGGAGAGGGGATAAGGTATATAAGAAGGAGAGTTGGTGGGTTTCGACATCTCAAACTCTGGTTTGCCTCCTGATGAGCCTGCTGATGCACACCAGCAGCGAAACGCGTAGAGGCGTTGTGTGCGGGTGTTTTGTGCAATTTCTTAAGATTTTGATCTGGAGTTGGGTAAACTTGTGCTTGATCCGGCGGGTTGCTGTTTCTTCTCATCTTCTATTCTATTTTATTCTCTCTCTCTCTCTCTCACAAAAAAAAAAGTAAAAAAAAAAGTGTATATTTCCATGTTCTAGCGGTAGATTCATTCTATGTTGCTCATCCTATCGATGAAAGTACCCCTCTCTCTCTCTCTCTCTCTCTCTCTCTCTCTCTCTCTCTCTCGCTCGCTCTCTCGCTCTCTCGCTCTCTCGCTCTCTCGCTCTCTCTGTCACGAAAAAAAAAAAAAAAAAAGTGGCAGTGTATATTTCCATGTTTTAGCAGAAGATTCATTCCGATTTTGCTCATCCTATCCATGGAAGTAGCATGGCTGGAAAACAAAGTTTAAACAGTGTATATTTCCATATTGTTGCTCATCCTATCGATGGAAGTACCCTCTCTCTCTCTCTCTCTCTCTCTCTCTCTCTCTCTCTCTCTCTCTCTCTCTCTCTCTCTCGGCGCCCTAGCCAACTTGGCTAAGGCTGCGGAGAATGGCTTACTGAGAAAGATGTTGGATGTGTTCACCGCTGGCACAGGTTTTAGAAAGTTCGGATAGCAAACTGTGTGGGGGGGACCCACGATTACCGGATGCTGAACCTAACCGGTTCGCAGGTCGGAGCCTCGCTATTCGAGCCCCTGGGATCTATCAGAATCCCGGTTTGAGGTAGTTAACTTATTGTATTTTATTTTATTTTATTTTCACTTGTATTTTTAGTTAGAGCCTTTAACGGAAATTTTGCTATTTTCTTTGGTCCCGACTACTTGTGTTAGTAAGACTTCTTTTCACGGCGGGCTGTGAGATAATTTTGAACTCTCCTCCTGTTAATCTCCTTCTCGCCGGATTGTACACTAGGTATGTGGACCCAGTACGGCATATCCGAAAAGACTTCGGCGCGTCGACACGAAGACCCCACCCGACTGGGGGAACACTGAGCGGGAAACCAATTTAAAATGAACCAACGCCAACATACTATTTGCTGAGACTATCGTGTTCACGTGACTTACTCAATCCCCGCGGGGTCAAAGTCTACTTATAGCTCTCAGAATTTGCTTTTTTTGCTGATATGGGTACCTGGTACAGTACTTAACCAGGTACCCCGTATACATATATTCAATTTTTTGACTTTTTGAAACAGATCGATACGAAGGTAGGATAGAATGCCAATCGTAACCTGTGGGGTACATATCGGTTTTTTCGATGACCCTTTTCGCCGATCTGTGGCTCCGACATGAATTGTAGTATTGGGTTTTTGTTGTGGATGAACCTAGATGGGTTTTTGCTGATCTAGAATTTTGGGATACTAGTACGAGCTCTGTTTTTTCGATGTTCCTTTTTCGCCGGTCTGTAGCTCCGACGTGAACTGAAGTATCGGGTTTTTGTTGTGAATGAACCTAGACGGGTTTCGCTGATCCGGAATGTAGGAATACTAATACGAGCTCGGTTTTTTTTGCTCGGGACATGGTGGTTGACACAAGCTAAGTGATCTTGACGTAGGCACAAAGTAGAGGAAACAGTTAAATAGAGGTAGCACGACAATAGCTTTCTCTTTGGGCACACGAACTTTGGTTCACCCTCCTGACGAGTTCTGCTCGGTGGGCAGAATGAAACCGGTCGAGGGATTCTACTGGTGCTTATTTCTGGTGGCTGGCTATGGACATCTTTTGGAATGAGAATGCAGTGTTTAATTTTGATCTCTCGTTTGCATCTCTACTTGGATGTGTTTTTTGCGGCTGCTCGGATTGTGTTGCCGCCGTCTGCCTTGCTCTGAGGCACGTAGTAACCGGTAGCTTAGAGGCTGGTCAGTGGCTATGTCTACGGCGTGAGACTTCGACAAGGCTAATCATTGATCGTGGGCTCGAAGTATCGACATTGGGTTTCGACGTAAATACGATTACGTATCTATTCTTCTTCGAAGACGATTTGTGGAATGCTAGTTTTCATTCTCATAGTTCTTGATTTGATGGAGTACAGGGTCGTTGGAAGGGACTTACGGTTTTGAGCGAATTGTGCCGACACTGGTGAATAATAGGGTGGAGAGGTAGAAAGACCGGAAGAAAGGTCGGGGTGTTTTTCGCAGGAGTCACGCCCAGATAACGATACTCGTCGATACGACTAATCTAGGACTGACCATAGTCGGGGGAACACACCCTAAGTTTCACGAACGCATCCTAAGTTTCACGACATAATTTACGACGGGTTGACAGGTACATTGGAGATATATAGATAATAAAATCATGGAATACACGGATTTTGAACGACGACCCTGAACGATCTCGGAATACATTTACGAACGACAACGTACCGGTTAACCATAATATTCATTACCCACCGATATGTAATTGTACGAATTCATATTGGATAGATAGTTCACGGAGATGCTAGTTGGAATTTTCGAGATATACATGTACGAATATTATTTTTTGAGTTAGAGGTGCAGCCCTCCATCATTCCGACAGGGCATTTTCATTACGAAATAGCTTCCGATCACTTACTGATCGGAGCTTGAAACATGGTTACACGTAGCCTGATGCTAGCCGACCTTTAAGATCATAATCTCTGCGACTTTGACGACCTACCAGTGAGCTTTTCCAAGGTCTTTTGAGAGGCGACTATTGAGATAAAAAACTAGGTCCTAACAGTCGCAACCCGATGCTACGACACGCTTGATGCTGGAACCACCAAACACTATACACTAAGGGGTAGGATTAATGTGCTTTGAGACTGGTTTCATAATCCGCGGATCACGACTGTTTTGAGATTCACGATGCCGATACGGTGCACATACTACGGCAAACGACACACACTTCGATCCGCGGTTCAGATTAAAAAACGAATCACAATACAACTTTCGAGATATATCAGACAGACGATAAGACCAGTATTTTACCTCACACGATTCGTTGAAGATCCGGCGGGTAGGGCAGGAATCTACACGAAGATTCAAGTAATACTAGAAAAGATCCGTATGATAGTTTTTCTTTTAAGTACTAGGAGACAAATTCATTACGAGGAAGTCATTGAGATCTGGAGGGCATAAGCAAGTACCCTTTTGTATCATACTAGGTAGACACGTCACACAGCTGTGCAACATCAGCTCTATGTTGAACACAATGCATCTCACTAACCCGTCGAACGGTGCACCGAGTACATCTTCATTTCCGGCGAACAACAACAATCGCTACGGTACCAGTAACGGAGGGCAAGTGATTCAAGGCCGACCAGTAGGTAGTCAAGGTTTCAACACCTTCAACAACGGCGGTACCAACCGGAGCGGCGTTTGTTATAACTGCGGTAAGATGGGCCATTTCGCCCAGGATTGTTGGGCTGGACGAGGTCGAATGGGCCAACCAAGCAACTTCGATCCAGAATTAGAGGAGATCAGAGAACAACATAGGCTAACAAGGAAGGAGAAACAAGAGTTGGAGGAGAAGAGAAAGATGGAAGAAGATAAGAAGGCCAAAGAGGAAGAACAGGCACGAAGAGACCGGGACTTCGCACGGAAAGCGGAGGAGTTTAAGCTACAGCTGCGGCCTGAACTTCATGAGGAGTGGCGCAAGAAGAAGTCGGAAGTCGAAGCCGCTACAAGGGCGTCAGCGAAGGAACGTGGATCCCCGGCGGGACGGAAGACAAGGACATTGAGACGAAGTCGACGCAAGAGACGTACCAATAAGCGCTATGTCATTGACTCTTCTGAATCGGATACCAACGAAGACTCCGAGCAATCAGAGTCACTCGGCTTGACGACGGAGTCGGAACTCACAGTGAAACGAAGGTCTTCAAGGAAGGGGAAGAAGAGACCTAGTGCGAGGAATAAGACAGGCAAGCGTAGGACGAAGGAGAGGACAAAATCTACACCACCTACCGAAGCACCAGGCGCTTGGAAGGGGGAATGTTCAAAGCAGACAAGGATGTTTACTCGAGGTAAAAAGCGTGATAGCGACTCCTCTGATCCAGGAAAGGAGCCGAGAACACCAATGACAACGGGTTACAAAGGTCTGTCAGCTGAATGCTCACAAAGAGGTATTATAGACTATTGCATATCAGCACATACGATTTACTCTACGAAGAAGGCAACCGACCTCAGAAAGATCTGCGAGAAGAAAGGCATAAAGTACACTAAGAAGCCGGAAATCGTCGAACTTCTAGCAAGATAGCAAGTTGAGTTGGCCTACGAAGGTTATGGCGATGTCGAGACAACCAAGGAGAAGGAGACCGACAACGCCACGGCTTCGCAAAGAAGGACTGAGGAGAAGTGTAAACAGAAGATGGAGACTCCGATCAACAGGAAGACACGGGTGACTCTGAAGTCAGCATCGGTCCAACCTGAAGAGGACTTAGATTGACTGAGTGTTACTCCTACGACCAAGGAATTATGGGAAGTCCTCGCAGATGCACTGAGTCTTAGGTCCTCACTGTGGAAACAAGGTGTTAGAGGGGACATATCTAGAGAATTGGAAAGTTTGATAACAGTCTCGACATTGGTCCTTGCTTTACGAGGCCAGATACCTTGGCTAGAGAAGATTGTAGCAAGGTCAGACAGGATAGCAGAGCTCACAGGATTAGATTCACCTGGGGTATATGTTGTGGTTAGCCCATGGACTAAGAAACTATATATTGGATGTACTGTCAGATCTATGGCTCAACGCTGGAGAGAACACTATGCCAATGCTATGAACAACGCTATAGGACTAACCCCTCATTTATACCGGTGGATGCGAGCTTTCGGTCCTGATAAGTATCGAATACTACCTATTAGACATGCAACCGGCACAGATGATTACGTGTACGAGAAATATCTCATATCAGACCTTTGTTCTAGTTTAAACATAAGGGATCTAGGGAGGCGGGAGAGAAGGGTAAGACACTCCAGTAGGAGGGGGAGGAGGGAGAGGAAGGGTCGAACCCGAATGCAGGACAGTCGGAAACCGATCCTTTTTCAATTAGAGGGGCGGACTTTTACTTCCCTCATTGAGATCTTGGAACAGATACGGATCGGATCAAGAGTACGTAAAGATTGGACGAAAATGACCCGGGTGAAAACTGTGAAAGGAGATTTTTGGACAGATGGTTGGAGACGGACTCGGAAACTGTACGGCGAATCAAAGGTCTGGTACGAAGGGAAGGACAACTTGCTCAAGGATGCAAAATCAGCTCTGCAGCAAGGCACTAGTCTGTGTATCAAAAAGGTAGTTCGTACGAAGACGACAACCGAAGTGAACAGGAACATCCTTCTGCAGCTGCTACGAAGGCCAAGGCCTAAGTCATTTTTTCTAGGATTGTCATCCAATAAACTAGTGGGACTCTACAAGGCTGCGGGGACACTCATCGATGGAAAGACTAAACAGTCACTGCGTTGGAAGATTGATAGAGCTCTGATAGATCGGACGGGAGTTAGCGTTAGAAGGAGGGTCAATGTTCTGCTACCGTTTGATTCTAGGATCAGGAAGACCTTGATCCGGAAGACAGCTGAGGAGGTGATTGATCGTAAAGTCACTGATGTCCACCTGGCGAATTTTGTAAAGAGTCGGATCATAGTTATTTGGACGAAGAACAAGACAGTAGGTGAGTTACTGCACAATCAGAAGCGGTTCGCCACTGAGGAAGAAAAACCATGCACTTGTGTTTCTTCTAATCTATCAAAGATCGATGGTCACGTGATGACCAGATTCGTTGACCTCAATACCGAGGTCATACCGGCCTTCGTTCGGAATGCGAAGAACATTACTAGATCTGATAGCACACAGGACGGAAACACGATACTACAGGCAATATCAAAAGCAACTAGACATCTGGGTAGACAGGATGTTACATTAGGAGTACCAGAAGGAATTTTCTCGGTTGAGTCCGATAGACCGGCTGCCTGGACCGAAAGAGAGGTACTGATCTGGGGTAGGAGATTCAAGGGTTTGGTCCTGGTTCAGGTAGACAAGAACCAGGGGAACACCGCGGTGATCTGCCCAATACTCTATCGACACGCTTTTGGTAAGACTTTCCTGTGGAACACTAACTACGAGGTGATAGGTAGTACCAATACGGAGACAAAAATTCTGGCGAAAACCAAGGGAGAATTTTTGGCCTCCGGTCTTCACAAGTTTGGACCGTGGAAACGTGACGGGCGACTGGGCAATGCCTACGTCATTCCCAAGCACAAGGATCTCGACAGGTCACCGTGGAGACCGATTGCACCAGTACATGCGGATCCAGCCTCCTTAGCTCAAAGAAGGACAGCTCGGGCGCTGCATTATCTGCTCACGAGAGTTCCAGCTCAAAATTCGTTTTACCTGAACTCGGTGGCAGATCTTGTGGATAGGTTGAGGGCAACCACACACAGACTCGAGGCTGAAGGATGTCAACAAGCGGTCGGCAGATGCTACGACATCAAGGAAATGTTCTCTCGCATTCCCCATGAGGCCGTGTTGCAGTCGGTTCATCAGCTGCTACGACACTTCGAGGACTTCGAGTGGAAACAGGTGAAGCTCTCTTTCAGAGGACGGGCCTGCAACCTGAATAAGACAGCCAGGAAACAGGATGGTTACGTTAGTATTAGACTGAAGAATCTGCTTAAAGCTGTGGAATTCGACCTTCAACACTCTTTCATCAGATGTGGGACAAGGGTGATGAAGCAGATATTCGGTATTCCGATGGGCAAATCAACAAGCCCAGTGCTGGCTTCGATCACGTGCGCCATGGCAGAGGAACGTTTCCTCAGGGCACTGGGCACAGACAGGAAACTGATATCAGGTTGGAGGATCATGGATGACATTTTGTTGGTTGCCGGCTTACCTTCTTCTGGGTACCATGCGGGTTTTCCACTGGATTTTTTCAACCTGTTCGAGAGCAGTTACGATTCGAGCCTGAAGATTGTACGGAACGACGAGTGCGGACTGACATGGGAATTTGTCGGTGGAACTATGATGATTGGGAGTGAACCACTGCAGTTGCACTACATACCTCGGTCAAAGAATACCGATTCTCTGTTTGAGACCGGCAATCTGAAATTCCAGACACTTCAGGACTACGCATCATATTCGGACAAGAAAGTGAAGAAGGCGGTTCTATCTGCTACCCTGAAGAGGCTCTGGGATCAGTCTACCAGCAAACCACTGGTGTTGGGGACGATCGCATTTACGGTCTGCGAGACACACCTCAGGGGCTACCCCCCGGAGGTCTCTCTCGGCGCCCTAGCCAACTTGGCTAAGGCTGCGGAGAATGGCTTACTGAGAAAGATGTTGGATGTGTTCACCGCTGGCACAGGTTTCAGAAAGTTCGGATAGCAAACTGTGTGTGGGGGACCCACGATTACCAGATGCTGAACCTAACCGGTTTGCAGGTCGGAACCTCGCTATTCGAGCCCCTGGGATCTATCAGAATCCCGGTTTGAGGTAGTCAGCTTATTGTATTTTATTTTATTTTATTTTATTTTATTTTATTTTATTTTCACTTGTATTTTTAGTTAAAGCCTTTAACGAAAATTTTGCTATTTTCTTTGGTCCCGACTACTTGTGTTAGTAAGACTTCTTTTCACGGCGGACTGTGAGATAATTTTGAACTTTCCTCCTGTTAATCTCCTTCTCGCCGGATTGTACAGTAGGTATGCGGGCCTAGTACGGCATATCCGAAAAGACTTCGGTGCGTCGACACGAAGACCCCACCCGACTGGGGGAACACTGAACGGGAAACCAATTTAAAATGAACCAACGCCAACATACTATTTGCTGAGACTATCGTGTTCACGTGACTTACTCAATCCTCGCGGGGTCAAAGTCTACTTATAGCTCTCGGAATTTGCTTTTTTTGTTGATACGGGTACCCGATACAGTACTTAACCAGGTACCCCGTATACATATATTCAGTTTTTCAACTTTTCGAAACAGATCGATACGAAGGTAGGATAGAATGCCAATCGTAACTT